AGTTCTGGGCAGTAACTCCTCAAAGGCATACAAAGTGACTGAAGTTGATGTGAGACACATGAAAAAAGAGGCCCAAATCTTTCCTTACACTTTCTCCTCCACTCTCCTGGACATTCGTTACATAAAGTAGGCATGTTGTCAGATCTTCTGTTTTGGACAAGTTAAAAAGAAAAGTCAAACTTTCCCCAATTGAAAAGGTGTACAGTCAAACCAAAATGTATTTATAGAGGATCTTTGAAAACAATTCATTTGAATACACAAACAAAGTGATTATAGCATAATGTATAAGGTAAATGTAGAAGAGCTAAACCTGCTTTAACTTTAAGTATTCGTGTAGGCTTAGATGATAAGACAGTGGCTTCATTTTACATTTAAAATGGCAAAATAAATGTGAAAAGACTTATTTATATTACTGTATATAAAGTAAGTCCTCTGAGGTTGTGACAGTGTGACAATAATGTGCAGTTTGTAGAGCAGCCAGCTGTCAAACGTGTATCTCTTTCCTTGTGTAGGGCAGAGTTCAATTTTCTATGCCGTCTCACTTAATGCACTCCTTAGTGTAGCAATAATCGTTCGCATTCCCAGTTCTTTATGATAATAATAGTGCACCTTTTTTCAAATATTGGTTTTAGTGCCAGAGAGGTAATAAGCCTAGCATTAAGTATTTGGCTGTGCATCCAAAGTCCCAGTCTCCTTGGCTGCTGTGGTCGAATACTTGAGCAGCTGCTTAAAAAACCCCACACTAAGTGGCCCCACAATCACCTGATGAATGGCTTTTTTAATGAGTTTATCAACCTTTGATGATTGATTTTTCTCATCTAGACTTTTGACATTTGAATCAAACCCTGTTCCACTGAACCAGCTGTGCAAAGGATGTTGACGAGAACCGAGCCACATAAGACTAAATGAGAAAAAAAGATACGAAAATTAAAAGCACATTGGTTGAAGAATATCCTCATTGTCGTGAGTGCTATTTGAATAATAATTATTATAAAGCCTTTCAATAAGGCTCCATTTTCTCTCATCTTTGTAATCATAGCTTAGTGAACAAAGTACAACGCATGTATCATTGTAACCTCCAAAATGGGCCTGGATCTAACCCTGAGTCCTCTTCCTGTCTCTCCATTGTCTGCTCTCATGTCCTCATCGCAGACGATGCTTTTGTCACATAATCACAAGTCACGCAGAGAGTATGCAGAGAGTACGCGCAGCACACACAGCACACACAGCACACAATTACCATCTTGTAATTGCGATCTTTTAGGCGTTGTTGTGAAGTGGTGCCCGATACTCAGGCTGTCGGCCCCGCTGCATTATCACAGCTTAGGATATTACAAGACTATTTATAGGAACTGTTTATCCACTCATCCTTTTGTCAGCATTGTTCACGGGTGGGGTTAGAGCCGGACTGATGGACAGGTCAATCAATCGGTCCAACAGTTCTTACGTTGTATATTGTTTGCTGAAAGTAGAACATGTAGGTGCAGTTTACAGTGCCACAAGCTAAAAGGTCAACGTAGGCATGGTCATAAACATCCTGTACAGTTTCTAAAGAGGAATGAAGTCAAGAGAATAGAGAAAGAACTCAGCAGCTTATATTGTGCAGTACAATTTATTGTCAGAGCTATAATCGGTTAACATCTGTTTTCTGTGCACAATAAAGAGTCTTTATTTTTCACACTTATGATTCAAAATGAAGCATATTCAGCCCTGAAAGTAAAAATGTGATATTTTCTGATGTGTGTCTAGTAAACCGAATGCAAAATGCAGGTGTATTTCTCTTTTATAAAAAAGTCAAGGGCACTGTGATGTAGTGGGATGAAAAAGACACCTCAATCACAGTAACAAGCACTGAAAAGATTTATTACACCCTTGCACCCTTTACTCCGTGTCTTCTGCAAAATCAACAGCATGTGACAGGATAGTGATCTGCACATGCATGAGCGAGACCTTTTTCTGCATTCATGTATGAGCTGTTAATCTTTGCACATTATAGTGTGGATGTGTTTATAGAGAAATGGTCGGTCTCAAGAATTGATCAAACATTAAGGGTTATGCTTTTTTAATGGTTTTATATGATGAGCAAGTTCTAGGCTGGCATTTGTTTTAAATTAATTAACTGCTTCATCAAAGTTTTGAACTTCAAAAGCAATTTAAAAACTGTAAACTGGACATTGTAACTAATTGTAACAAAGATGGAGAGCAGTAACATAATATTTCTATTTCAATTACAGTAGATCAATAGTTGTGATTCCATTAATTTGAGAATATTTTATTAATTTCAAATGTTTTATCATTAAATTGATCAGCCTTTGTAGATAATTTAATAAATGATGGACCTCTAGTGTGATCACAATCCACTTTCCGGCATTTTTAACAAGGGGATAAATAATTGACTGTATTCCTAGGATTCATTTATGTTTTTGGTGTGATGTGTCTCTCTCTGCTGAAGAACGTCTGAGAGTCAGTACTACAGAGGAATCACAAGTTGCCATAGCTACAAGTGCTGAGGTCTCGGTCGGTCCAGAGTGTCGAGCCCCGGAGAGGTGGGCAGCGAGCCGACCGTGAGTGAAGGCTGAGAGCTCTGGAGGACCCCGTCCAGCAGGAGCCTGAAGCACTCCTCAGCCACAGTTTCTCCTCACATTTCCCCGTGAAGTCAGGAGATCAAACTGAATGCATGATGGTTTATCGGAAAGAAAAAAGAGGCCATCAACTTTTCACCTAATGTCAGACTAAGACAGAGAATGACCCTGCGTGAGGTTATAAATGTTTTACATTTTCTTCATTTTCAGATGATTTCATACATACTAAAAGCAGGTTAGAAAATAATAAAATGGTATAAGGGCTCATGAAGCAGAAAAAAAAACACACAAGGCTTGGAAATGTAATTGAGGACCACTGTGGTACAAGGGCAATTTATCTATTTGTACATGCTCTCAGCATGGTTATGGCAGAAGTAACTTTTTTTTCCATCTCACTTGAAACGTCTTGCAGTGGCACCAAAGTGGCTCTTCTTCTGATAGACAGCCTAACTCATACAGTAGGTGTTGGTATAATCCCCTGGAGGCTGTCTTACTTTGTTCTCAGCCTTGTTTATTCCAGTGATGTCCTCTCCATCTCTTGCTACAGAGGAATCCAGACCACCGAGGCTTAATGTTTTGTTGTTGTTGTTGTTGTTAGATCAGTTCATACCTCTGAGGTATTGCACTGGTTTCTTGCAGTGTGTGAGAATAAAGTGTTTTGCGTTACATTGGGACCATTATTCCCCTGGCACTCGGTGTGTGTGTGTGTGTGTGTGTGTGTGTGTGTGTGTGTGTGTGTGTGTGTGTGTGTGTGTGTGTGTGTGTGTGTGTGTGTGTGTGTGTGTGTGTGTGTGTGTGTGTGTGTGTGTGTGTGTGTGTGTGTGTGTGTGTGTGTGTGTGTGTGTGTGTGTGTGTGTGTGTGTGTGTGTGTGTGTGTGTGTGTGTGTGTGTGTGTGTGTGTGTGTGTGACACCTTAAAGCTCATGTTTGTCTTGAGCTGGATTGACGGATAGAGACATGGTTAGGGTTAGTGGTTTATAGTTAAGCATTGCTGTTTGTGCATGCACTTACATGTATTGATGTTTATAGTATTCCTATTTCTTGCTCACTCATGATTTGTATATTGCATCTGTGTATTTTCTTGGTGGCCTTAACTGCTGTGAATGCACCTTCCGTGAATGATGCAAACTTGTAGGAACATTTTTATCTGAAAAGATAAATGGTGTGGAAATTATTCTGTTCTCGTGCATAGCTGGCTGATTGTTTGCATGCCTTCAACCAAATGCAGGCATTTATGGGAACACAGTGACCTTTTGCTGAAGAAGCTTATAATGCATGCAAACAAAGGAAGCCACTTTATCGTGCAATGCAGCTTTACATCACTCTTAACAGCCCTGTGTTGGAGAAAACACTGAGCTAGTAGTTTAAAGTGCAACTGGCCATTTTATTGCGAATCTTTTTTTGAGCTCATTTGTTAGAGAAATAGAGGTATTATAATGGAGGAAGTATTCAGAAATGTCCTGAATTAAAAGCCATTTAAATAGAGGCATTACTGTTGGCTCATATGCACATCAATGTAGATTGATTTGATATGTTGAAGATGTTTACTATTTGAGTAACACAATACAGGCTCATCTGAAAAATCTATTTTGAACCTATTTTCTTGCAGTGCAAGAATTCATTTCAGGCTCAGATATGTTCGAGTCTTAGCATACATCTTTTTGTCGGGTTTAATGCGAGTTGGAATAATTAAGCTAGAGGGCTTGACGCTAGATAATGGACTGCGACAGTGAAAGGCCTCCGTAATGACTGATGAGAACTCAGGGTATTGTCGTTAAGAGCACAGGCGTGGAGCTACAGCTGCATCACATTTACAGCATGCGTTGGTGTACACACACAAACGTATAATTTGAAAATCCTTAAGATAAACATTCACATGAAGCCTGTTTTTATCTCCCTCTCAGACACAGACAGTAAAAGAACCCATTTCTATAAAGTACATTTCCTTCTGACTCTGTCCTTCACAAACACCCAACATGAGCAGTTACTCTTAGATGGACACTTATACACTCCCCCGTTCGTTATATTGATCCACGCTTACACAAGTATTAGCACTCACTTAGAATGAGAGGCATGTCTTCCGGAGCACAGAGCAGTAATGCATCCATACAAATGCACACACAGTTTCTCATGTTGCCTGGTGCACATTATTACGCAAACTTCTCAGTATAAAAACACATGCGTCGGCTTTGGCCTGGCAAAATCTTTCAAATTGAATTGGAGCAGCTGATGTATTCATCCAGTGTGTGTGATTTAATGAGGTCCATGCCATCTTGTCATAAATCATATTAATAATCTTGAGAATCCCATTGATTTAGATTTTTTTTTTAAGCCATCCAGTGCAGTATTTGACATCTTCAGCCTTTGTTTCAGATTTAATTAACTTACTCACTCACACAGCACAGAGAAAACACGAGGAACTACTTTTTCTTTTTAGAAGTCTTTATTCATCCTTGTAGAAAAAAAGACGACAGACCAATAAATGGAATAGCGTGTTGCACCCATTTGTATGTTTATACATAAGAGTGTTTTCATTATCACATCTGAGGGTGACATTTTCAAAAGGAAAAAGGATTTTTTTTGCACAGAATAGAAAAGGAAGCTTTTAAAAAAAGAAAAGAAAAAGAAATGCAACTAAAATAAAAGAATCCGCACGAGCTGGTCCTATACGACTGGTTACGACATTAACCCAGGTCGGAAAAGAGAAAGAGAGCTTCTGTAAGTAAGAATCGGTTGGTGGTTCTGTATACATGAATATCACTCATCAGGATCCTTCCCTCTACGGCCTCGCTCTTTATTTCTCACTCTCCACCCTCTCCTTTTTCTCTTTTCATGTCTGGCATGTTTGTTAGTCTTTTCCTTTGATGTTCCTCTTCCAGTAAAGTATATTAGTGGAGTCAGTGAGAGGCAGTCGGAGAGCAGGTGCTGCTTCCTTCTTCATGCGGTGTGTACATATATGTTTGTTTGTTAAACTGCACAGTGTAGCGGTCAGGCTGGGATCCCTGTTTATGACTGTCTATGCTGGACTTTGGCCTGTAAAACTGTATGATATTTGTACTTTTCTCCGAGAATGCAAATTAAAATATATCTTGTAGTATTGGGATTTTTTTACTGAGACATACTTTGAGATAATACAAATCTTTGTGATTAATCTGACAATTATTTTTTCAATTACATAATTAGTCTAATTCATTTTGCCAACACGTATACCTACTTTAAATATCTATAAAACATTTACAACTTCAACTTTCAGATTAAAATTGGAAAGACAGATTGTTATGAATTAATTTGAGCAAAGAGTTATTAGAGTAGAGAGTTCCGCACAAAAATCATTAGCTGCTAAAACTTATTTCAATTAAGTAGGTTTAACCAGCCTCAAGATGATAATGGGTTACTATTTTAAGATGTATAATTACGTTTCTTACACTTCATTTGCAAATGTAATTTAATAAGACCAGACTACAATAGAAATTGTGAACATGGGTACATACTTTTTCTTAATTCTGAGATTTTAATAGCTGTCCTTCTCAAGCTAGTCATTTGTCCTGCAGTCGTGGCAATTATTTTACTTATTATGTTTTTCTCTGATTGTCTTTAATTCCTTATTTTCCTTGTGTCCTACAAACATTAGCATCTTAATGGTTCCATGTCATGATAAAGATACAGGCGAAAACTGCTGTAACAATTTAGTTTGATTCTTTACATTTTGATCACAGGAAACTGAAAACATCAGTCCTTGATGGAAGTGTGAAGTCATGTATTTGCTGAGTGCAGCAGTGGATACACTGAGGGTAAAACTTGGGTAACATTTTGGATGATGATTACGCAATATTCCAATGATCACCCCTCTTTTCCCCCCGCCTGCATCCTTCTTGATCCCCCATCTTCTTCCTTTTGTCTGCTTTTCTACCTCCTGCCGCTGAATTTGTCACACGCCCTTTTTTCCTCATCTTCCCTTTTTCTCTCATTTTCTGTCCTCGCTGTCTGCCTTCAGCCAACACACCTCTCTCAGCGCCTCCATCCCCAAAACAGCACCCCTCTCTCTCCTTGTCTTATTTTATTTTCTTACCATCCATATATCCATCACCCCCGCTCTCTCTCTCTCTCCCCCTCTCATTAGTCTCCCCATTCTGTGGTTTGTGTCTCCTGTCTCTGTCAGAACTGTTATCACTGCTGTCAGCTCCCTTGGCGAGAACAAAGTCGTCCTCTGCTCACGGCACCACAAAAGACACAAGAGAAATAAAAGGAAAGAGCCACAGCCACAAAAAAAAAGAAAAGCGAAAGAGGCTGAAACGTGTTAAAATTAAAAAGGAGGGGAATAAACTAGAGGGAAAGGGGACACTAGGAACACATCTTTTCATGTCAACCATGATGCATTGTCATCTGTGGGTTATAACAACCATTGATTTTTCCCTCCGTCATCCCTTTTATCTATACAGCACAGAGCTTACAGTTGGTAGGAAGATATGAGACCTATCTCTATACACATCAAGTGCCTTTTCCTCATATAATAAATATATCTCCTGCTAAATCAGCTAAGCCTAGTATATCAACCTCAAATAAGTTACTGTGTATTATAATGAGCTGAGAAGAACAGTAGGTTTAAAAGACACTGAGATATCCAAAAGAGAAAACGTAACCATTTATAACTGTAATCAGCGCTGAAAGAAAGTATTTCTGTATAAAGTAGTATACAGTAGTAGAGTATAGTAGGACTGTTACTTCTGTCACTCAACAGCAATGTCAATTCAACATAGCCAAAATCAGTCTTTTCTACTTAGCAAACCAATCAGAATTGAACCATCAGAGGCACAGAGGGTACTTTGGAAACCAAGGACAAATGGCCACCAGCCAAGGGGTCGTCATCATAGAAATGGCGCCGGGCATTAGTGGTTCAGGGAGTGTTTCCGTGTATCATCACGTATAGGCATAATCTATGTCGGGGATCCCACCCTCTCGGTAGCCCCGGTTGGTACCATAAGTGACACGATGGTGGCTGGTTTGGCTGAGGATGGTGCCATTGAGGCTGCCGGCTCCATGGCTGCTCCTGTATGTCCCGTTAGCTTGGGAAGAGGAAGAGGAAGAAGAGGGAAAAATGGTGTGGATGTAGGTGACGTCCTCCAGCTTAGGCTGCAGGGGCTGATGGGCCATAGCTGTCATCTGAAACCCTGCAGGAGGTGCCCTGATCTCTAAGATGGAAGTGTCTTTCTTGGTGCCCGACTCAACATAGTCATCATAATGTTTTCCACCCCGGCCCCTGCCGTATGTACCTGAGTCCCCGGACACATAGCCTGATCTCTGTCCATACCAGCAGAAGATGCCAAAGATTAACAGCAGGCTTACTAATGCTGTGGCACCACCTATGATCCCAGCCAATGGCAGGGCTGTTAGTTCTGAGTCCTTACCGTCTTTATCAGACCCCTCCCCTCCTGCGCTGACCTGAGCCTCTCCAGTCTCTATCTGAGCGCAGGTCGGGATCGAGTCTTTACTGTCTGTGTCCATGCTGCCAATTCGAGATGAACCCATGCTGGAACCCCCAAAAGAGGATTCCTGTCTTAGTGGCAGCAAACAGATGAGGTAATGGGAGCTTGGGGTAAGCTGGGTAAGGAAGTACTGCCTCCTCTCTCCAGGTACTAGAGTCTCTGTTATGGAACCAAGAGATGCAGTGCTTCCCAACCTCAGCCACGACAGACGAAAGGAGGGTGCCGGTTCGGGGCAAAGCCAACTCACCAGCACACTGTCCGGAGAAAGTGGTTTTACAGTCAGCTCCAGGGCCTCTCCAGAGACCTGCCCCCCTTCACCGGGAGGCAGAGGTATAACAAAGCCCGGCCGCTTGGCGATGAGGGTGAAGAGGGATCCTTGAGTGGGGACCATCAGAGGAGATGTGGTGCTGCTGCCATGGGGAACCGAAGCCACAGCTTGGCCCCCTCCAATGTCATCTTCACCTCCTCCATCTTTTTCTGCTGGGTTCATCCCCATTCCAGTACCGGGACCACCAGGAGGGCCTTCACACTGCTCCATCAGGGAGGCTAGTTCTCTGAGGGCTTGGCCCCTCACAGGCTCTGGGCCCTGACAGGTCAGACCCCTGACTGTCACCGCAGCCCCCCGGCTGTGCAGCCATGCGTGGAGCCAGCGAAGGTTGCAGCCGCAGTACCACGGGTTTCCTCGCAGCAGTAGCAGCTCCAGGCTTTCTGTGTCCTTCAGAAGCCCTCGTGGAAGAGTGGTCAGATTGTTTCCCGACAGGTCCAACCTCTGAAGCCGCCGCATGCCGTCCAGGGATCCCCGTGGTATGTGAGTCATCCCGTTGTCTTGCAAATGGAGGCGCACAAGGTGAGACGAAGGAAGGTAGACTGGCGGTGACTGCAAAGCATTCCTGACCAGTGACAGCTCAGTCAGGTTGGAGAGACGGGAAAAGGTGTCATCTGCAATTCGTGTGTTGGCCAACAGGTTCCCATCCAGAACCAAGCGTCGAAGGGAGGAGAGCCCACGGAAGGCATGTGTTGGGATGGTGCTTATTCTGTTGTCGTCAAGTCGCAACTCTTCCAAGGATGCTGGCATGCCTGCAGGGATGCTTGACAGGTGGTTTCGAGAAAGGAACAGCAGTCGAAGCCGTGGAGTCCCAGAAAAAGCTCGCTCCTGGATGCTAACTGTGGATATAGAGTTATCATCCAGGTGCAAACGTTCTAGTAATGGTAACTTTGTCAGAGCTGATCTCGGTAACGTTCGTATATTATTATCCTGCAGATGGAGCTCCCGTAACGAAGGCGGGAGGTGTATAGGGAATTCATCCAGATGGTTGGCATACAGGTAAATTACTCGTATGGAAGAGCTGCGTTCCAGTGAGGGAGGCAGGCCGGAGTTTTTCACCCGGTTGCTCTGCAAGTAGAGGATGGCAGCCATTAATGGTAGGGGAGGAATTATACTCAGGCCACGGTCGTTGCAGTAGACAAAACCCTCATCACAGCGGCACACAGAGGGACACACAATGCCCTCATCTCCTTCGCCCGTTTCCATGGCAATTGCCGCTGCCGCCAGTTCCAGCACCTCAGCCAATAAGGTGAGGCACAGGAGGAGCAGAAAGAGCCAGTCGCGGAGCTCAGCAAGACTCTCAGTCGCCATGTTGCGCTCAGCTCCTGATTGAAAAGAGAGAAAATGGGAAACTTGATTTAAGTACCACTGCTGTAACTGAGTCTCAAATCAAATACACTTTTTGCAGTTAACTAAAGTAAAAAGAGGACAAGTTTATGAAAAAGTCAAACCACAAAGTGCTGTACTTTCTACCTACTGTATAAAGTAATGTTCTTTTATCTAAAGGCAGAGAAGTTTTGGGGATAGAAAAGACGGAGATAGTTTGTAGGGATTGTTCAGTATTATATGGGTCAGAGCGACCAAGCAGAAACGGACATTTAGAGGCAGAGAGTGCGATGAAGGGTTGAGTGAGCGGGCAAAGAAGATTACAAGAATCAGAGAAAGCAATAGAATGATGACAAAGATGGAGAGAATTGGACAGTGACAGTTTGATGGCGAAAATAAAGAGTGGAAGAAATTTTTCGGGGCGATTAACTGAAATGGAGTGAGTGACATGAAACTAAAATGGAGAAGAGAGTCGGGGAAAAGGAAATCAGATTAATTGCCCACAGTGCTGTTGATTTCTTTTGAAGACACCAGAAGCAGTACACTTGCTGTAACTGCACTATATCTGACCCTCCAATGAAATTACAGAGAGAATAATTTTAACAGAAAAATATAATTTAAGGCCATGACCAAAACACACACACAGAAATACACACACAAATAAGTGAACATACTGAACACAATGCATTCACATACAGAACAGTTTCTCAGTACAAGATGACATGTATAATGCATGCTTTCTCTTGGTTGTTATTGTTCGTGAAATGTATATAAATTATTCAGGAAAGTGGTCTAGAAATCCCAAGAAATGTTTTAGCGAGATGTTTTACAGAGAAGCATTTTTCTGCAACATTAATAACGTTCCTCAGTCTATGTTTTATGAAATGTCTCCTAGCGATTCCCTGACACCAACATCAATAACATACATTTACAATTCAGATAAAATGATCGCAGTGCACTCGCATCCACAGCGCACTGTTTATAGTATATTAATAATATACAGTAGTGAAAGTTGTAGAAATTACATGTACTCTTGTTTGAATGCTATCTTTTGGGTAGCCTGGGGCAAAAATCTACTTTGACGTGAAATGCCTGACATGATTTGACAGCACATTTGATAAACAAATCCTCTAAAGGCAAGTTTTTTTCCCCTCCCCACCCTTCTGTGCATACATGCTTGTGTATGTGCGTGTGTTCGAATGTGAACTCAGTGCTAGATGCAAAATTGCCCCATGGCTGCAGTCAAAATCCATGCAAAGCAAACAAGAGATGGCAACAATAGAATAGACTGAAGGAGGAGGGAGGGAGGGGGAGGGAGGCGAGGAGACAGATGGAGAGTTGGACAGTCAGTGGAGGAGAGGGGAAATGAGTTCCTGGCAGTGAAGACTCAAGACAGTATCAGCTGAGTTTGGTGCAAAAAGAATGATTGCGTGCTCTTTTTCTGTGAGAAATTGGTGCATAAAATAGCTGCATTTATGTACCTATATATGCTTGTTGTGAAGATCAACAGCAACCAGCTCCTGTCTCACCTCCACACAAGCAGAATGTGATTTCATGTGTGTGAGCCGTACAATTTGGCATGAACCTAGACTCTATTTTTCTCTTTTCTTAATGGTATTTTAAGCTTACATCTGACTATTTCACAGCCTTTCCAGCATTTGAGATACAGAGAAAGTAAGGGAGAGGAACATATGCACACAAAAAGGAGTGTCAAGGTAGGAGCTGAAGCCGTATTGGGATTGCTCTATGAATATCAACTAGCATATGTTTCGTAGCCACACTTCCCTTTCATAAATACGGCTTGGCACAAACCTGTTTGTGTGTTTTTGCCTAAAGTACATGCCAAGGTTTTCTATCGACACATCCTCTTAATGATCCTTGTATTTTCTATCTTCTCGCCTCCCTGCCTCGTCCTCTCACTCTCTCCAACTGTCGCTCTCCCTTATGGCGCTCTCCTCTCTCTGCATCTTTATTTTTCACGCCATATACCTCTCCAATCCGCCCACCTCCGCTTTCTCCCCTTCATAATCTTTCATTATATCCACTCTCAGGTTTGTTTGCAGAAGTGTCCGTGCAGTCGCCCTCCTACTCTCCTCCACTATCTCTCTTTCTCTTTCTAATCCTCTTTTATCGTTTCCTCTCCAGTCCTCCGTTGATTCCTACACACTGAGATTGGATCAATCAGCTCTAGTTCAGTCCTCCTGCCCAGACTTCCACTCTCCCTCATGGCGACTTAGTTTCTATTTCATTTAGATGCAGCAGACCCCCCACCTCTTATTTTTCCCCACCTTCTCTTTCTCACTCCCTCTTGGCCTCAGCTTTCTCGCCTCCGCATTCGCCTACCTCTCACTTTGCAGCCCCCCCACCCTTAACATTTCAATCATGTTCAGAAATAAAAGCCTTTGTGCAAGCACAGAGCCATTGTGTTCTTTCCGATCACGTAGCTGAAAGTAACATGTATGTGTGGTGTTTTTCATTGCGGTGTGTGTGTGTGTGTGTGTGTGTGTGTGTGTGTGTGTGTGTGTGTGTGTGTGTGTGTGTGTGTGTGTGTGTGTGTGTGTGTGTGTGTGTGTGTGTGTGTGTGTGTGTGTGTGTGTGTGTGTGTGTGTGTGTGTGTGTGTGTGTGTGTGTGTGTGTGTGTGTGTGTGTGTGTGTGTGTGTGTGTGTGTGTGTGTGTGTGTGTGTGTGTGTGTGTGTGTGTGTGTGTGTGTGTGTGTGTGTGTGTGTGTGTGTGTGTGTGTGTGTGTGTGTGTGTGTGTGTGTGTGTGTGTAGGTGTGATTGGTCTAACCTGGTCAGTCTCTGTGCTGTTTGCGTCCGCTGCAGCTGTGTTTTTCCTGTATCAAGGGATTTGTGAAGAGAAGTATTATTGTGTCTTTGTGTGTGACTGAAGAAGTAACCGTGGATCTCTGTGTGTTAGCGAAGTTGTCTTTGAATCGTTCACAAGTGTAGCCTCGCTCCTCGGGGCCGTTGAATCTTCCTCAGCTTGGGTGAATGATGATAGGGAAGATGATAGCCTGTACTCCAGGGCTCCGCAAGTTGCAACACCAGCATGGCTCAAAGCCGCCTCGGCACCCACATTTTTGTCGTGTGTGTGTGTCCTACTGCCAAGCTCTCTCTCTCTTCCTCTCTCTCTCTGGGGTAAGGGGCTTTTAGGCCTGCCAGCTCAAGTCATCTTCAACAAGCGTCCAGAGGCCTTATTCTGAAGCCACTGCTCCACACCCAAATGCTACAGTTGGGCCGACAGTCAGAAGATGGTTGAGAGCTTAAGGGTCCTTCTTCGAAGTCAAAAGCAATCCTGGATACTCATGCAAGCAGTGGGTCATGCAGGAATAGTACAGTTATACTGGCTTTGAATAACTAGTTAGTGGTTATAATGAATGAGGAGCAAGGACAGAATAAGTGGGATTTTCACAGCTCTAAGATATCCAGCTAAGAGTCCTTACGATTATTAGTCGTTTTATAACAATTATTATAAACCTACATTTCACAGTTCTTTGTTGGTAAATGGAGTATGTGGAGGCTGTGATGGACAGTTTGGTCCTGTGCAGATTACAGGTTGTGACAGTTTGGTTCAGAGGCTCCTTTCTTCTTCCCTCTCAGTTTCCGCCTCACTCTCCTCTGTTAAATTTGAATCGCTTCCTTTTCAGTTCACACAGATGATCTTTAGAGGCAGCAAAGCACGATGACCGCGTGTACTGTACGTAGTGCACTCTGAGCAGCGCTGGGAAGGCCAGTCACGTGGCTCAGTGTGAAAAGTTCCCCCACAGGTTAGAAGAAATAGAGCGATGTATCCGAGTATCCTGGAGGAAGACTTCACTGGTGGTGCTTCAGCAGGACAGCTGGCAGAGTGTCAGTGAACAGCGCCCTGAGAGAGACAGCAGACAAGAACAGTATTAGACATTTTGAAAGTGTAAAATCGTTGCTAAACCTCACACGAAGAGCTGTTTGTAACACATCATTCACAAAACCAAATTGCACACAAGAGGCTGACACTTTTAAGCCCTTTAACCAGTTAATAATATTAAGTGAGCCCACATTTGAGTGGTTGAGTAGAAAAAAATTAAATGTGTATTTTATAATCCCTAAATAGTTTTGTAATTCTATACATCGGTCTCTTTAACTTGTAAACTTAATAAAACAAATATTCAAAGTATGGCACAGCAGCTTGAACGTTGGCACAATATGGAATACTAAAATGTACAGGCTAAATAATTATCCCCATCAGAACAGTTATACCTCTTAAAATTAAGTACCTCATGAAAATACTTCCTGAAGGTCAGCGCTGCATATGCGTAAGCAGCTCCCAACGGACACAAACCTCCCATTAAGGCAACTCAATGCTTTATATCTGCGTTTTTTTTTCTTCAAACAAAGCTTTTGAGCTTTCATTAACCATCACGCGTTAAGTGCCTGTATCTTGCGTGCAGAATCCAACCCCCCAGTGAACACTGGCTTTAGAAATATAAGGTTTTCATCAGGCATACTGAGTGTACAGAGACAGATTCATCAAGGCCATTAACTGCTCCGCTGCTCACATTCGCCTGTTCACTTCATCCCAGAGTAAATAGACTACATAGCCAACTGGGAAATTATCATGTGGTTTGCTTAAACACAAATAGAGACAAATATGGCGTCCTCATTTTCCATTTTCAAAGGACACATCCTGCAGCTGTCAAGTTCAACAACCTCTTGTCTGTGTGTGTATATATTCTTGAAGGGTTTTAAAAATCAACTCTAAATTGTGCACCATACATCTTAATCTAGACTATGGGGACTGTGTGTGTATCTATTTTAGATTTGGTGTTTTAACTGGTTCCACAAATGGAAAGGAATTTGTTTAATTAGTTGTGCAGTTTAGTGGGGTAGTTAGGTGGTTGGTGTGGGATGAAATTGGGCAGTGTGGTGAGATAAATTGTCCTTTTTATAAAACAGCTCCAGGCTGGTTTCTAGTTTGTGGCATAGTAAACTGATTTGTATGTGCAGGGTG